GAAATGTGGATGCATGCTTAGAGAACACTCCTTTCCTTGTTAACCGTTAGTGGTCTACGTATAGTGCGGGAAGTGCGGACGCATCACGGTCTCTGGGGCAGGACACAGGTAACAGAAACAGCCTCCAATGCAAGACCAGAAGAAACTAATCGAAACATGTTGGTGATTCGGATGATTCCGTAATTGGAAGCGCAATACAATGCTTGAAATGGCCTCCACGAAAGTGGCTGAAACGGTTTTGCTGGTGATAAACGTTCACCCACCTTACTTATATGCGCCAATACAGTGTCGGAAGATCGCGAAAAGTCATGGCTTTCACAAGCAGAGGTTCCGCTGACTGCACTGGTACCGTGGAAAGTGAAATTCGCAGTGTTTAAACGCACGAAACGACAACGGAGGATTACCTTTTCTGTATTTGGAATTGGGAAATAATAGACCAAGTTTTTGTCGGAAGGAGGGAGCTTCAATAATGCAATTCTCACACTCGGTGCGGCATAACAGTACAATTTTAGATGGATTTGACACAATATCTCGACACTTCCCATGGTAGGTAATGGTTCCAATGAACCACCTTAAGCTAAGTGTTCATTTCTCACTAACTTGATTGAATATTCGTGAGTGAGACCATCACCTTTCCATCGTACATACATGGTCTCCATGACATCGTTTCCTACAATGCACGTCTAATGCTACACCTCGTGGGAAGATGTGGCATCGTGCGGATTGAATGAACTTGAGAACGAATGCCTAGTCTGACAAGTTCTGCCAACTTTCCCAACTTTGTCACTGGACCAGCTCATGTGAATGCGCATAATCTCCCTTCAGTGAACAAGCGACTGCAGTCTGAGTCGCAGCCAGACTGCGCGTTAGTTAATATAATTTTGAAGGATAAAACGCTGAATTCATTGCTTGGTTTTATGGTGCCGCAAACGCATATTTGCAGGTATGCTCATCACAAACAGAGTGTGCAAGTGAGGTCACTATTTTGTTAATGTGGTCGCCATGCGTTTGCATTGCCCATTCAATTACCCACATCGTTCCCGTGCCAATGCACGATCGTGTTATGGTAGAGTTGCATTAATTTCAAGTCATCGTCTGTTCGTTTCCTTTTCATCAGACGACCAAACAGCTACTGTGGTGTGTAGGCGCTTGTGATGTGCATGCTGGTGTGTGTAATCCCGCATTGTGAAGTGTTGGTGGACCTGCATGTGTGGGGTTATTGTGGCGGCATCTGTTACTGCGCCATGAACCACCCTCTTCTCACTCCGCACCCTCATGTCGTCAAGTGTCGTCTAACACTGCACAAATGGGAATTGACCCTGTCATCTGCTTTGGTGTAGAGCACTTGGCGAATGTGTGGTGGCAGGATGTGCCCTCCAGAAATAAATCCAATCAGTGGCTTGATGGTGGCGACAAATCACTCAACGTGATGTGTGTCAGGTACGGGAAGACAGTCAATTCTTGGTCATGAGGATTTGAGATTGGCATGTTAGGATAGACTTCTGGCAATGTTGGGAGGCATGAAAGATGGAACAGTTGGTTGACACGAGCATCAAGTGAGGGGTGAGGGTGGTGTAGAAGTGAGTATGTGAATGGGTTTCGCGCACATGCCTTGTATGAGGGGATGACAGGTAGTAAATTTCAGAGACTACCAAATCGTATTTCCCTCCTGTCGAGTACAATATAAAGGCGTGGTGCCGTGAGATCGTTGACTCACTGACTCGTGATGAGAAAGATCTCATGTACTGCAATATT